CAAGCTCTCACCAACTGGTCACTTTCATTCTGACCTTGCACTTGTTTCCTGTATATATTTGATTATAACATTTCATAAACATAGGGGTCTTGTAGTTTCCACACTTGCTGAACTTCAAAAGGCGGCCACCATACTCACTCATTCCATTAATCATTTTATAATAGCTTAGAGAAACGTAGTCCTCTAGTTCCTTAGAGACTGACCAATGGCTGGCCACTTTCTCACGCTCTCTCTACTTCAACCGATGTTACCTTATACTTAATTTCATAACACTCAAGTTGAAATGTTCATAAGTAAGTGAACTTATCAATAGTAAGTTAAATTCATAGACAGTAGCTTAGTTATCACAGCAAATGTATATATATATATATATATATATATGTTGTAAGCCCGGTAGTTTTGTTTGTTCGTTTGTTTGTGAGAGGAATATTTTCAATCATGCAGATTGAAATACTTTTAATAAGCGAACAGTTACTAAGTATTTCCTTAGCATTGTTTCATTCAAGATGCAGCATTAAGAAATTAAAATGCAGACTGTACATGTACTAGGAGGAAGCCAAAAGTAAGAAAGATAAAAGCTTTGTTATTCATACCACAAAACTAGTACATGAATTGGATATGGAAAGAAATCTAGAGAAAGACACTGAAAATGTTGGCAAAAGAGAGCACTCAAATGTGTGGTTAGCATCGACTCAAGTCAGCTTGAATGTGTAAGAAATGTTACAGTCTCCATCCCATTCCTTCCTACTGGAACTGGGTTGTCTATGGACAACTAGACTGTATGAAGGAAATGGGGTTGGGTCAGAGGACTTGTTGTTGTGTGTTCCAACTCTCCAGAAAGGAAAACACAAAGCAGCTGACCACAGACAATTGATCATTTGAAGGGGGATACGAGCTATAAAGGTGATATAATATGTCACACGTCAAGCCTGTAGACATGTTGCCTGGCTAATATGCCAGCCATAGTAGTTAAGAATGTAACACAGTCGGCTGAACCTTTGACAGATGACGTTTCCTTAACTTACATTGGAATATGGAATCTAGCCAGTGGTTTCCCACCCCTTGTTGCTGAGTGTTCCAGAAGAATTTTGTTTGATGAACCACTGGCATGACCAAAGACTAACCCGTCATCAAAGGTTAAATAAAATACTGGATGGTATGCCCAAGGTCCGCCAAAGTCAGAACGTTGGCAGCAGGTATTCATGCTGAAGTTGTGTGGTCGAGAAAAGTAGTGGTGCCAATTCCCAGTGAGAATTTTGTAAATGTAGCTTTTGAATTGATTTCATTTCTGTTTTTTAATTGAGTGTAAATACTTTAATAGAACACCCTTTTGCATATTGTGTGCATAGTTATTTTGAGAGTGATTTTGTTGTTATTAATGAAGTTTGGTTTCGAAGGTGTTAGTTGTACAGGTATCATTTCTTGTGATTTTTTTGTAATTTTGTGTAAAGGTTCATTTTCTTGAGTTGTATTTAGAGTTTAGAAGATAATGGTTTTCTTTTAAAAGCCTTATTGTATTTTGTAGGGATTTCTATTTTGATATACTGATTTCAATAAGAGCTTTATTTTACATTTTTATTCATGCAAAGAGTTTAGTTAATGTTATGTTTCGATTTGATGTGAAAAAAGCATTGTGTTCAATGCATCTAGTATGAAGTTTTCTTTCGTAGTCTCACTATGTTTTAGATTGCCAAATTGTGTTTCATTGTGCCATAAAGTAGTCTCTATTTCATTTTAAAAGATTATTTTGAGCAAGACTGTGAGATATTTTATTTATATTTTTATTTCTTTGTATTTGCTACTTTATGGAAGGTTATTTCATACTTGTGTTGGACTTTATTCAATTATTAAAGGGATTAGTATGTTTTTGTTATAATTATTAAATTATTTTCATTTTTTACGTTCTTCTGCATATCATATAAACTACCGCCACTCTAAGTCTGGTCAATTTTAAAAGACTAAATGAAATCGAAATGTGAGAATAACTCCTTTCTGTGCCAAAGGTTTTCCTAATCTCTAATAGCTTTTATTTTTGTCTCTAAAGGGGCAATCAGTCCTTTACCCACCGTGTGAGCTGGATATTCTTATGACTGATTGATACTGAGCTAAGAACATCGATCTCTAAAAAGCAGATCATCTTCTAGATCGTCTAGTAGGAAACTGAACTAAGAAAGCGAGCTCGGAATAAAAAACAAAAAAACTTTTCTCACTATATAGGATAGAAAGCTTATGATATGCTCTCGTACCATTTATTTCTATGGTAGTTTAATTATAATTTATTTTTGAATCTGACTTGAACCTTTGCGATTGCTCTCACCCTTGTAGATTTTTCAACCAACTCAGCTCAAGGAATAATGCACATTTCAACAATCCAAGCTACCCCTAAGTTTCTAGTAAGTTTACCGGCAAACTCTGCTTCACAGTTATTTAAAATTCACCTGATGACAGTATATAATAAGTTTTACAATCTACAAGGAAAAGGAGGAACTAATTCATAATAATTTCAATGGGACAATTCTATAGCATAAGCTAGTAAGTACATAACTAGTCTATAGATAATCAACATAGAACATAGTCAAGCTCTATTACTTCGGCCATTTAGTTGTTTTTTACTCTTACAGATTCCATAGCAGTTTGACTTGAATTTGGTATATTCGATTATGTAGAACCATGATTATAGAAATCCAAGTTTTAGTCCAAATAGCTTACCACTGAGCCATTGGTAGACAAGAATGAAAAAATATATATCTGAATAATCGATAACAATTTCATATAAATCGGCCGTTACTTTCACTAGTAAGGTTATATGTATATAACGTATTTAAAATGCTGATCAGTGTTTTTGTCGGGAACTTACTTTTTATTAGTATATATATAGTAATGTAAATATATGGCTGTGTTGGGCTAAGAATTCTTCTTCAGTAGGTGTCTGTGAATTGTTGGCGATAAATTCGACAATAAACGAACAGCACGCACTCCATTTGTTTTTAAAATAATATATGTATTCGAAACAAGTTAAACGTATGTACAAAAATTCTTTCTTTGAGGGTAAGTTCGTAGAGATTCTGATGAGTAATAAAATCGAATAGGGTATACACATGCCACTTGCTTGGCAGTGGTAGCGCAAAAAAATCTAGCTAATAAAAAGGAAACAAAGAAGTATGATATCTTTTTAAAATTACATAAAGACAAGTAGGATTGATATATAAATAACTTAGCTAACTATAGTAATATAGAAAGTTTTAAAGTTTTTAAAGTAGAGAAACAAGAAAGCCAAAATTACAAAAAATGTAATTACTTAAAATTAAAAAATTATCCCTATTTTGGCTCAGATTAACATTATTACTGTGATTTTCCAAAGTAGGGATAGATTTAAAAAATTTGGTTTTTGTAATTTTGACTTTCTTGTTTTAACAATTTTTGTAGCATTAAAACTTTTTATATTACTATAGCTAGGTAGGTTATGCATATATATCGATCCCTTTAGGGCGCTCGACTTGCAATCTGAGGGTCGCAGGTTCGAATCCCCGTCACACCAAACATGCTCGCCCTTTCAGCCGTGGGGACGTTATAATGTGACGGTCAATCCCACTATTCTTTGGTAAAAGAGTAGCCCAAGAGTTGGCGATGGGTGGTGATGACTAGCTGTCTTCCCTCTAGTCTTACACTGCTAAATTAGGGACGGCTAGCGCAGATAGCCCTCGTGTAGCTTTGCTCGAAATTTAAAACAAACAAATATCGATCCCCACTTGTCTTTATAAAATTATTATTTACTTATTATACGTGTTACGTCTTTATTTTTTCAGCTATATGATAATATGAGTTTTTCACAAGGCCGCATGCGCAATAGCCAAATATGTAATTGCCGGGTCCCGGTTTCTCGAAGAGAAGGTAGGTTGTTGTAATTTGTAAGTGAGTTATTTCTGTTAGATATTCGTTTTAAAATGGCTAATTTTATAGCATATTTATTGTGTTACTTTCTAAAGAATTCTGCGTCATTTTCTTTATTTCATAAATTTTACTTTCATTGTAATATTTACAGTATCTTCGTAGTCTGAATTAGACTGTACCGTCTCAGAGTCTGTAGATTTAATGAGTACAGAAGGTTATGCACACGCCATTTTTCAACATGTGTAAACCCAGTATATCCTGCACAGGCTACAGCCCTACACAATATAACGAAGCCAGTGACTTTAATAAGCGGTCAATTTACTGAGACAACATGTTTTACAAAGCAAGCACTATTGTAATAATAATATATACTTAGGTTATTGGTAGGGAGTTGCTATTATACTGTACTACAATTACAAATGACATTTTAAAAAGTATAGTCTACTGTATTATGTATAATAATGTAGTGGCAGTTAGCACTTAGCTAGTTAGTGTCACTGTTAGATGCAGTTTTTTCATCCGTCATTCAGAAGGATATCATCATGAAAAGAGTGCAGAAACTGGCTTAACTTGAGAATTTAGAAATATAAGTTAATGTTTTACTAGGGTTCTTTAGAATTAGAGTGCATCCTGCAGGAGAATTGAATACATACTCGTATACTATTCTGGTGTTAAAAATAGTGGTTTGAATGTGTTTTTATTTTATTTAAAAGTCGGCGCCATGAGAAAACAGCAGCTTTAAAGTACTGTAATTCAGAAATGTACTTACCTCTGCATTAATTACTAAGAGTTATTACCTCGTGTGCAACTCGTGGGATTTCCTGTATGTGCCTGTGAGAACTAGTGCTTCTTGTGTTCAGACGAGTTTATTTTTGTGCTCTTTGAATATCTAGTAATCTTAACCAATTGTGTTTTATTTATTAGTGCTACATTGCTTTTGCACTTTTTTTTTCTATCCATCTGATTGCAATTACTATTTATTTAGCTGCCACATTTATACTTTAGGCTACTTTCCACAACATATGCAAAGTAAAATGAAAGCAAAATTCCCAAGAACCAGACATTTCTTTTCAGGTATTTTTTCCAACTGACTAAGTGATAACTGGAGGAACTCTGGACCTGATGTTAGCTGTTATTCCTTTAGCTCACCTAGTAAAGTACAAGCCTGCATGTGACAGGTCTTGGATTTCACTTTGTGGTGAGGCACTTTCAATGTTCTGAATAACTTAGTTTCCATAGTTTTATTGAGCAAGGTGTGATGAACCACAGTGTACTAACAAGTTAAGTGATGATATTCCCACTTTCATGCATCAGATGATTAATTCTCTTCTGTCAATTTCCTCTCCATTTCAGTAACCCTAGTTTGTTTTGCCTTCTGTTTGGCCTTCCTTGTCTGTGGACAATTTTGGATATCTTTTCTATCTCTGGCTTTTGTTTCTGGTTCTTCTTTCCCTGTGAAGAACAGGCAATTCCTCCTTTTCTGTTTGCTACACTCGTGAATCAGGTATGTGATACTCTGCCTTTTCCTGCATTGTCTCTTCAGTTGTTTTATTTGTACTTCTTGTTCCAACTCCATTTTGTCCCATATCTTTCTTGTTCTACTCATCTTTGTGACTGCTTTGTTATGACTTCAGTTCATAGCCTTTTTCTTTCTGCTTGTGATGCTTCTCTTTCTTTCTAGCTGTTTGTTTTTGTCTGTCTTTACCCCACTCCTTTACTTTCCTTCACCTCCTCAGTGAGGCTCTTCATTATGACCCCAATAGTTTTTAAGAAGATGCCTGTTCTTCCTTGTTTGCCACTTTGGTTTCTATTTCTTCCTTTCCTGTCTCTGTTTTGACCTGGTTTCTTTGCTTTTGGGATCTCCTTAGTTTGGTGTCTCTCATATATCCAGGTCTTTCACCTTGCCCATTTTCTTACAGGCCTAGTCTTTGGGAGAGTTTCTGACCCCTTAGAATCCTGGTTTTGGCTGCTCCACACACAAATGGCTAGCCATCATAGCTCTCAGCAATGACCCTCCTTTGGAAGTGATCCTGGGATTCTGCACATTCTTTCTCATCATTTCTCTCATGTCTACCTTTTCTTTCCTATCCTCTTCTCACCAATTCTTTGCATCTTCATCATCTTCAGGATGTGATATACTCTTTGTTGGCAGTGAGAACTACAGATCTTGTCTTCCACGTCACTGGAGTTTTTATTTCCTGTATTTTTGATGACCCTATCAAGATAGGGGTTTGGTGCCCTGTCATCGACTTATCTTTGAATTCCTTTCTTGTTGTTTCCCAGTTTTCGATGGATGATTTTCTCAGTATACATTGGGTCCTCTCTTCTGAGCTTATTTTAACCAAGGCAGGCATTTTAATTGTCTTTATTCACATTCCCATTTGTCCTGTGTCCTGTTATTCCTCTGGTTTTTTTCTCAGTGGTTGTGGCTTTTAGTTCTGTGCCCTTCCTATCGGCCTAGCTATGACCCCTTATGTTTTAGCCAGATCATGAACTCCTTTGCTCTGTGCGTGCAAAAGTTGTGTTCCTTGATCAATATGGCAGATCTTTCATTCTGTTGTACTTGATATTTTGGTCAGCTACAGTTTCATATTCTTAAACATCAAATATTTCAATAAATTAGGTTGTTTTAAAGCTACTACTCTCATGGCACTGACATTTCATTAAAATAAATCTCATGGTGATGCTTGTTGTTTCTTATCACTGATTGGTACAATTTTTCCTAAGGGTTCTGTCTAAATTGCAAAGTGAAAAGGTTCAATATTTGGAGTAATATATTTAAATTCTGTATGTCTAGGTGTAGAGATCAAACTCAAAATTTGATTGAATTCTCAAACTTTTGTATATAAAAGTGAAGGGCTAAGTATCTTGTACTCTTACATATGTGGTAATGAGGTATGAGCTTTTTTTTGTAAAACTAAGAATCTAATATCAATAAGCTTTAATTTAAGTTAGGAACACTTAAGTACTTGTTTAATCTTGAAGAATGAAATTTGATGAACACAAATTATAATTCCACATAAACTAACAATGTATGGACAACAAGACCACTTGATCCTTTAAGAAAGTTCCTGCATACCTACCCCCATTTAATAATTTCTTGTTGTCTCTCACTCATTGATCCTATAGTCCAATTAATTAGGCTTTCTTCAACCCCTACTGATGTGATTTTCTTAGCTAATGTTTTTGTGACACCTCATCTAAAGGTTTTTCAAAATCTAAATACATCAAGTATACATCTTTCATTATCCAGGTAATGTGTGACATTCTCAAGAAAAGTTACAGGTTAGTAAGGGAAGATTTTTCTTTTAATGAATTAACATTATTTTTCTTTTACTACATACTTATAAAAGTCATTTTTTTCTAGGACATCTTTGGTCAGTGCTGTTAATTTAGGAAAATCATGTATGCTTGTGCTCAGTATGCTTGCCCTCTGACAAGAACAATGGTAAGCCAATTTTACACATCTAGAATTAACTGTATTAACATATATTAAGAGTGCATATACTACAGGATTAAAAATAATCATGGTACACATACAATGGTAGTAATGAAAATTACATTGATTTTTGGATATTTCATTCATGAATTCATATTGCAGAAGTATAAATGCTAGCAACTATTACAGGAACACAGTAAAAGGAAAAAAAGACACAAAGGTAGGATTTTACTCAATCAGTGATTAGATGTAATGTTGATGTGTATGTTTAGTTATTTCTACCTGCCTGTACCATGTGTTTAATATTCTGTTGAAATGAAAGACCATAGGTCATGTAGATGTTTAAAGTTGGATAGATTTATTGAAGTTATTCAATGTATAGTTGAAGAGAATATTGACACATGAAAAAAAAAAAACAACAACAATGTTCAGATATTCAAACAATTACTCAGAAAGTGAATAATTAAGAGGAATGCAGTCAGTATTTCGACTGTGTGTAGATAACTGCATTCTGCTGGATTGTTTGAATGTGCTGCTGATAACATAACAGGTAAATGCAGCCCATCAGCTGTCATGAGCCCTGGAGTGTCAGAATTAGGTCTTAGATGATGGAAGTTCATGGATTGGGGTGAACGGTCTAGGAACACAGTTTAATCTGATCATTAAATATGGGTTTAAGGCCAACCCATGGTATGGTTAAACCTGACTGCAATGTTTTAAAAGTGAAAGGTGGTGTGGTAGTATTAAGTTGTAAGTTTACTTAGTTGGTTAGGGCTTGGTTCATTGGTGGTAGTGAAAGGAAATATGATTGGATCAGTGTATTCTGGTATCTTAGATAATGTTGCACTACTGGTATCAGTGCAGTTCTATATGGCAGACCTAACAGGATAACACACACACACCTATTGCACTTAGCATATTATTCTTGATGGTATCATACAGACCTGTATGCAGTTGAACCTTTCAAGGGATGAATTGGATTTATCATTTTTATGTCTAAAGGAGTGAAATGACAGATCCTAATTTTTGAAGGATGAATGGAAGGCTACCAAACTTATTGTTGAGTATGTATTACAAATTGGTTGAAAGATGTAGTGTGATTCATGCTATGATTACAACAAAAGGTGGTCCAATGGCTAAATAAATACCTGAGAGTATATGTATACTAGCAAATACCTGCAAAATATTTGTCGTTAAATTGGTATCTTTATTGCAACAGCACTTCTTGAAGTAAAGGATTTATGAATATTAAAAAATAATTCTAATTGCAAACACTTGTCTTAGTCCTAACATTAGTTAAGCCTTTATTAACTGTGGCCAAATTTGATAGAGATAAATTAACACTGTACCTTGTGTATGTTTTTTTGCTTTGGTTTAGTTATGGTTGAACGTTACCATACTTAAACTGAATAAGCGCTCTACAGTCTTACAGTGGCTAATAACTATAAGCTTGCAAAATTGACTCAGTACTTACTGGCTACTTATATAGGGATTTTTGTGTGGTTCTGTGTATTCATCCCTACCTTGTTTCTGCATTGCCACCCCTATATCGTACTTAATTTTTTGGGAGTCCAGTGAAGCTGAAATGGTTCCTACAGGATGGTACAAGTTCCCTGGTGAGCTAGACCAATGTTGATGGGATATTTACAGAACCAGTGCCTTCTAACTTCAACCCAACTCACTGCATGTGCTTGCAATCGACTCCACCACATGCTAGGGTCGTATTGGTTAATAGGGAGTACATCATACAGATCCCATGCATACACACACAGCTGCCAGGCTCACCCCACTGAAAATTTGAAAGTAGACTGCAATATAATGTATTGTTTTGATAATTAACAAACTGGTGTTTTTAAACTCTGATATCAATAACATGTACACAGATCTGTTAGTTACATAAGTACTTGATTTCCTTGTTACCTTGAATATTAATTTAATTGTTCTTTCTTTCTTTCTTTATGTAAGGACTATTTGTGCTGCATAGAAATATCTATATATAAATATATTTATGAAACGTGGAATTAATATATGCTTACAAGCTGAACTCACTGCTATATAGTAGTTTTCTTTTTATTATTTCCCCATAAGTATACATTTGGTAAAAGAACAGAATAATATTACTGTTATACAAGCTGTGAAAGCTATTTTCCTATACTGAAAATGTATTTCTACCCACATAATTAGCTATTCTCGTTCAGTATTGCCCTCTATATGCCAAAAAATTGTATACGCATGCCACAAACCTTTTGCCTCCTCTCCATTGGAAATTACTCATTCCAATGTGTATGTCTCATCCTGTTATAACCCTTCTCCAATCAGAGTACCACAGACTCTAGTTATGCATGTGACTCCCTCTATTCAATTCTACCAAATGAACACTTCAAGTTTTGGCAGAAAATGGAAACACCAGTTTTCAGTGGGGAGGAAGGGTGGGAATTGTGAATCGAGGTAAGTACCTATTGGAACTACATTTTCAGTATAGGGAAATTATAACTTCTGATACTCTACGTAACTTCCGCTTACATATTTAGCTAGAATATCATTGCGTGGTCGTGGGACATATTAAGCGTGTTGACATGGCTGAACAGTGTGGATTTTAAAGGTTAAAGAATACCTGGTCAGACAACACTCACCACAGAGCAGGATCCAAACAATCAGAGTTACGATGAAAAGGGAAATAAAGCCCCTGAAAAAGTTAAAAAAGAATAAATATAATATACCCAGTCTTATAGTCGCACGGAAGTCTGAAGGATGGCTACAGGTGGAAGATGATATCCCAAAGAGGAAGAAATGGTGACCCTATGCAGATAAGGAGAGACAAATGTATTAGATGTAGTCCACATGGCTGACCTCATCTTTCTTCGAACCGATGATGAAGTTGAGATGCCAGAGAAAAGTAAGGTGTCTAATTTAATGAGAAGACACCTGGAACAAAGTACTGGAGGACAATGAAAGAGGGGAATAAGCCAATCGAAGCAAAAGCTGAACCCAATTGGTGAGGGTGGAAAGAGAAAGATTACAAACAGAGAATGGTTGCCAAGGAATAAAAAGGCAGGAACAGGCACCACAGATGGAAGCTGTGCAGTCAATATAAAATTGAAGAACATGTACAGAACATAGAAGTGTATCCAGATCAGGCCAAGGATAAAGGTAGGAAGTAGAAGGAAGGAAATTGGCAAAAAGGAGGAGTTACCCTCCTTAGCCACCAAGGTCTTAGGTAGGAAAGAATGACCTGGATAAAGGAGAAGATAGGTAGGATGATAGAGAGTATGTGAAACATCGATGGCAAATAAATCAGACTGCCGATGTCCACAGGCTAATAGGAAAAGGAAATAAGACTTAAGGGAAAAGTGAAACAAGGAGCACGTGGAAAGTGCTTCAAACGGAGGCAAAGTGAGGCAATGGAGAACTACATTAACATCCCAGTCCAGAAAGGCAGCCTGCTGCGGAGCATGACAAATCTGGAATGGATCAATAAGGAGAGTGTGGGTCCTGTCCAACCACCAGGGAGCGCCCTCCAAACTGGCAAAATAGACACTAACAATTGAGAGCCTTGAAATTGACAGTCTGCATGATGGTATGCCAAAGCAAACTGATTCGTAGCCTGTGGGGGAGCAAGGCATGCTGGCACCTTCAACCAATTGGGAAGAAAAATGCTGAGCATAAACCCTAATAACCGGGGAAGGTGGGAAAACTAAACAAGGAGAAGAATAACACATACCTAAGAAATCATGTTTAAAAACGCCATATTAGGCCTAGCTGACTCCGCAGGTGGGGCATAGAAAGGCACAGCAAAATCCAGTGGTGGAAAAAGACTATCAAAATCTTCATCAGAACGAATATGTTTGGATTGTTTGCGAGGAAGAGGGGCAACTTCAGGAGAAGGTGATTGACCCATATAACAATCAATCTCTTGGTGAATAATTGCAGGTAAATCCAATGACCGGTTGTCTCCACCTGTAGCCAATGAAAAAGTGCTGATAGTAGATGTGAGACCCAAAGTGATCACATTAACCTCAAAATTCATGGTAAATAATAAATCAAACAAATTGTTTGAGAGATAAATACAAATGTACCAAAAAAAAAAGACTAGAAAGAAAATTTGAAATAAATTTGTCAGCTGTATAATCAAAAATGATTAAAAAACTAGTTTGGAAGTATAACTGTTAGTTACAACAATGAAGCACATGAAAGCAAAATTTGAAACGTCTAAATACAAGCATTGCCAAACGAGAAGTGATAATTTGGTAAAATTAAATAAAGGGAGTTACATGCATAATTTGTAAGCATCATAGAATAATAGATTGAATGTGGTGGCCATCATATTCTTGGCCTATCCCTACATACTAAACAGTACTGTACTTAGTGATAGCATGTTCCCAAGTACTCTTAAAATAGTTTTCTGTCGTATAGAGCCATTGTGAAAACTTCACTCACTTTTTGGCCAGTGTGGGAGAACAAAAAGAAAAATGAACACTTTGGCTAGTTCCCAGTTCTATAACTCAACTTTAGCAGTTATAAGGTTTTCCAAGTAATGCCTGACTAGTGATTTGTATAGAAATATAATTACCTATCAGTATCTATAAATACATCCTAAAATGCTCTTACCTTTACTACATGCAACGGAAAACTACTGCTGTGTCTTGACTGACTTGTACACCAATAAATCAAGATAATTTTCTTCATTCATGTAATTGTGTTCCAATACACATTAAGTGTGTGTGATCCAAATTATGATAACCTAAATGTATTAACTTGCACTTACTGTAATTAAAGATCATTTACCAAAAATATGTCCAACTTACCAATCAGCATCCTTTAAATGTTTGATTCTCATTTTAACATTTTGCTTATCTCTAACATACTTTAAAAAGGAATCTTTGCTGCTTCAAAATTATCAGCCAGCTGTTTCATATTAGCCCCTTTAGATTTTTTAACCGAATACCTAGTTTTTTATAATTCTGTAAATCTCTTAACCTATCTCTTTCTTTAATATTCTTAAATTTGTGGCATTTATCTCTGATTTTCCCATTTACGTTTTTAGTAAGCCAGTTATATTTGAGTTTCCTGTTATTCTTTTCCTCTTGAATTAATTGACTTATTACATCTGTATCATCACATTTAGTAAGCCAGTTATATTTGAGTTTCCTGTTATTCTTTTCCTCTTGAATTAATTGACTTATTACGTCTGTATCATCACATTTAGTAAGCCAGTTATATTTGAGTTTCCTGTTATTCTTTTCCTCTTGAATTAATTGACTTATTACGTCTGTATCATCACATTTTAACTCTAACATCCATTGTATGAAGGCAAAATTTCACCACAAAATTAACATAGGTTATAGTAACTAAATTTATAGTTGTTAATACATAGTGTTTTATACCTATGAGTTAAAATTAATTCAATAGAAAAGTTTTATTTTATTGAAAATACAATTTTTAAAGAAAATTGCAAGTTATAATTTGGGGTTGTTTTTGGCAAGCTCTGAATGAATATAAACTTTGGTGTTTGTGAATTTTTCCTGTGTATACTAAAACACCCGTAGCCTCGTAGGAGGAATGTTGAAATGGTTTTGAACAAAATGGTGTTATTTTGAACTTTGTAACTTCAGTACACACGTAATTTTATAATTTTAGCCAATAGGCTTCAGGTCAAACTAGGTAACAGTATATTTTCTAACAGTATTCTTGGTCCAAATAAGTTTATACCTAATAAATATACTTTTTTTTTTGAATAACTAAGGATTTGAATTTTGTATTTCTGTTGAATTTCTTGTAACACTACACAAGGGCTATCTGCACTAGCCATCTCTATTTTAGTAGTGAAAAACCAGAGGGAAAGCAGCTAGTCAACACCAACCACTGCCTACTCTTGGGCTATTCGTTTACCAATGAATAGCAGGATTGACTGTTACATTATAATGCCCCATGGCTGAAAGGGTTGGTGGGATGGGGATTCGAACCCACAACTTGCAGATTGAGAGTCATGCACACTAACCACTTGATTTAATGGAGTGTTTAACCATCACTTACTTAACATATGTTTCATCATATAAGAAAATTTCTGTAACTTTCAAACATGTTTTCTAATACAAACATTTGTAGGTATGAAAAGAATATCTATAGAAACTATTAAAAAAAAAAGTTCCAGGTCTGGTTAATCCTAAGCTTTCTAAATTTGCATACATTCTCACACCACTTTATTAACTGTACATTGACATAAATAGTTTATAATCTGCTCTTTCCAATGGTATTTTAACTTTACCTGTGCTATTTTGAAAGTCATTTTATTAGTAGTTGTTCAGTCACCTGCTGTGAGGTCACAAATGAATGGAAACCAGGAGGCTGTACTAATAAAATTCAGAGAAAGAGCAGGAAAATCAATTGAGAAACAAAACATTGATAGTTATATTCTCAGTGAATGATAGTTTCTTAGCAAATACAAACATATGCTTTGGGATGGTCAGAAAAAAATCTAAAAAGTCAGTAAGTGCATTGTTTACTGGCAAGACTTCTCAGAGATGAACAGAAATTTAAGGTTAAACATTTTTTAATTTTTCTTTGCAAGTTACATTAAGTAAATGTTAAATATGCAAAATATTATTTCTAAAATATTTGAGTAAAATATCATTTAACTGGTTAAAATTTTTACTTAAAATTTACTTGACACCTGAAAGGGTGAGTGCTCAGTGGGCCAGAAAGGGTTAATGACTATTTTCTTCCTTCCACTCAGACTACTTTCAATCCTGTTATCTGACTTATTCCCTATTCTGACTAATAGTAATACAAGTTTTTCCTCCAATCTTATGAAACACTATATTTAAAACATTCTGGAAATCCAAGTAAACCTGATCCAATTTTTTACCCTCATCCAATTAAGAAGAAATATCCTTGAAAAAAGTTAATAAATTAGTAAGGTAGGATTTTCCTTTTCTATAGCCTTGTTGGATATCTAACAAAATTTTGAATTTTATCAAATGGTCCTGCAAAGCACCTTCATAAAATTTTCTATAGTTTTTCCTCACCACTATAATAAGACTAACTAGCCTAATAAAATTCCACGCACAATGCTTGTCTTCCCTATCTAACGATGTAATTGAAAGCAAGTGGCTCAGAATGGGCTTTAATATTTTAAGAACTAGGGAAGTATCTGATACAGGACCCTTATCTATTTTTAAACATTTTCTTAAATTCTAGCCAACATCCTCTCTAGTGAAAACTGATGAGAAAACAGTTTAAAATCTTGGCATTTTCATAGCCATCAACAGAAACTATCTGCATATTTTAAATGTCTAATTCCCATTTTCATGTTCTTCTTTTCTTTAATAATATATATCAAAAGAAATCCTTATTGTTAATTGTAATTTCTCCACAAGAAGGTTATGTTATTTAGGTCACTCTTGCTTTTTGGCTACTATTAAACATTGAAAATGTTTTATGGTAAGACCTTTTGATCTGTCTATTGGCTAAAAATGTTTTTGTTAAGAGGTATTAAATCGGGAGTTTCCACAGATAATAAATAGTGTTAGTGATATAAGATATTGTAATTCGGGGAACTTATTGTACTCTTGTATTGTAGGATGGTACAGTATCTGCAGGTACCTTTTACAGTCAAGTCATATAATTTTCATATTATGGTTTGTGTGCTGTTGTGTTTTGGTTGTCTTGCTTCACAAAAAATTCAAAATTTTCATCCAAACTGCAGAAATATAGCGTTACTCTTTCCTTTGTTAAACCATAAAGATGCTAAGGTATGTGCGTATACTTCCCACCTCATGGCACAAATGTAAATAAATTTATGAAACTTTTTTAAAGAAACGTTTTCCAGCTGTACTTAGAAGTTAATATTTTTAAAATGATGTAATTGTTCATTTATAAAGATAAGAACGTTTTCATTAAATATCTATTATATTTATAGTATTTTGGCACTTGTGTATAAAGTTAACATTGAATATTATATATATAATTTTATCTATTATATTGTCAGTTCTTATAATAATCTTTTGTGATCTTGTCAACATTTCTTGTGGAAAGCTGGAATGAACTTATTTTCACTTATACTAATTTTTCATTTAATGGCAGATAATACTTTAACTTAATATTTGATTCTGAACTTCAACTTATTTTATTTTATAAGGCTGTGTATTCAGCTGCATATTGTGTTCAACAGAAATGTATTTAATTACATACATAGAATTTCCAACATCATTTTTTATAGGTCTTGTCTGGGTCCCGAAGTCTGTTGAGGCCATTAACAGTTCTCAGTCAAGAGGTAAGTTGAGAGTTGTAAAATTAAATTTCACTGCAGCAGCTTTATATTGGAAGAAAATATCTTCTTTTTATGTGGAAGTGTAAACTCTCAAGATTTAAAATTTCGCTGGTAGAAAAAATATTTTATCACAATTAGTTACTGTGCATACTAGTCTACATTTTTTTGCTTATGCTAGTAGATCACCAGCAGACTTACTAGGATATCTTTCCAACATTTCCAGACCAAAATATATATATATAAAAGAATAAAAAAATTAGAAATGGTTAACCCTTTCGAGAAGGGTCACAGTGAAAGGCTATGTCATCTAGTCTGTTGACTCATTCAAAATTTTACTGAACTAATATTTCATGAATATATGTCTATAAGTTTGGTATCAAACTGTAGATTATAATTCAAATTTTAGTTACAATACATTACTCAATATCTTAATTTATAAGTAAATATTAAAAACTCAGATAAATATTGATTTTTGTGTGTCGTGATATGTTGAATGCAGCACTGGTTCAGATTAGATGTTTGTGAATTCAAAATACTAAATCTGTAGTTTCGTATGAATTAGAAACTCAAATTACTGATATTGACAAGTTAGAATATAAAATAAGAACGTCTTATCTTTTCTATTTGCTAAGATATTGCTCATGTAATAAATCAAACTCCACCCACCTGTTTCCAATTTGGAAATGGTCTCTTATATACACTTACTTCTATCTATAAGACATGAATAACCAATTGTAAGCTTAGTGTTCCCCTAGTGATGCTCTCATCCATTTTAATGGGCTTGGATGACATTTCTTTCTTTTGAACCAATATTTCAAGTGGGTAGGGTGTGTCTTTAGTCTGCTCGAAATTTCATATTTTTTTTAGACTAAAATATGTCTTAGTTACTAAGCTTTATAAAATATAGTTGAATTCTATGGTATTGATGTAGTAGTTTATGATTTTTTAGTTATTCAAGTATATATAAAAAACCTAAAAATAATTTTCATATCTTCCATGTGCAAAATTTTTAAAGGCTTAGCAACCTATGTCAAGCAGCAACCGAGTACAAAGGTCATAACTAGAAGAGATAGTTGTTTGCTTTACTTCTTTATTTACTGTTCTAAGTTCTAAGAAGAATACGTTTAAGAACTTATTTCAAAATAAAAAAAACTGTATACATATATAATGTATAATAATTGAAATGTGACTGTATTGTACAAATACTAGTCTTCTAAAACACAGCCAAGACAAGTTACTTTGTTCAGACCAAAGGTCAGTTTTATGTTATTTGATATGATAACATGAGTGCATGTGAGCCACATCATTTTAACTTCTGTATTGTTAGCCAGGCATGGGTGAAAGGTCAATATAATAAAAATAATAAATATATATATATATATATATGTATAAGATTTAAGCTATTTCATCTAAACATTTATGTTTGTGTTATAATTTGTGTTCATTCTAGAATGAGAGAGGCATAATTTATGTTTATTTCCTAATTTTTTATGGTGGTTGTGAGATCAATTATTGAAAATAACAGATAAAGCATAAAGTTTTTCTTAAGAAATGTTATTCACATATCATATACAGAAGTAAGTGTGTATAAGGGAGTGTTTCCAAAAATGGAAAGAGGTGTGCAGGGCCACTGTGTTTGATTCAGTGCATGAGAGATATCTCAGCAAATAGAAAAGATAAGACGTTATTATTTTATATTCCAGCATGTCAATATCAGTAATTTGAGTTCCCAATTTGTACAAAACTATAGACTTAGTATTTTGGCATCACAGACATTTAATTTGAACCAATGCTGCATTCAACATACTATGTGACACACAAAAATTTATGTTTAGCTGTGTTTTTTTAATATCTACTTTTAAATTATAAACTTGAATAATGTATAATACTGAAATTTGAATTATAATCTACAGTTTGATACCAAACTTATTGATATAAATTTATAAAATAGTAGTTGAATAAAATTTTGAATGAGATTCAACAAATGCAATGACATGGCCTTTGACCTGTGACCCATCTGGAGAGGGTTAATAGTTCTGTGGATGAGAAAATTTGTATGTCTATCTGATATTTTTGCATTAAAAGAATTAAATATGCTTTTTAATTCATGTTAACTTCTAGTGTAGTAGTCAGTGTGGGTGATCTAGTTATTTCAGTAAAACACATATGACAGATTGTTAGATTAATTTATAGTTTATCAGCAGTTCACTACAGATTAACTCAGAGTTTCTGAGAAAGAAGGGCAACCTATAGCTCTATCAACTTGTGTTAAATCATTTCTAAAATTAAGTATCTGAGTATCCCAGATGTTATCACAAATGTAAAGGCATAAACAAGATGTTTTTTGTTTTTGCTTATGTTTGACTGGAGCTTTTTAAGATGAAGCAAATTAAATTACTTCAGTGCTTGTCATCACTGTCATAAATACTATTATCTAAATACAATAATAAACTGAAAGTTCTAGTACATACTAGTAAAATCCTAAATTTTGTGGTGGCATTTTATGGGCATTGTAGATAACACATGTATTTATTCATTCCTTTAATATCAGTTCACATATTCTGCAATTAATTTCAGGTACTGAGTTGTAGAACTACTTTATTGAAAGATGAAAACAAACTTGTCAAACATTACATGTATCTTTTAAGCTGATGAAAGCAAAGTGTTAATCCTGGTTGTTATTTTCATTTTTTGTTTGTTTTTGTACTCTCTACTACTGTATTACAAGCATTTGCAAGCAAGTTCAGATATAAATATATCTATAAATATGAAATAAATGAACTTTCATGTACTTAGAGTTTTAGGGTCCAAAGGAAAAATTGAGAGACCCTGTGCCTATCACTGTGAGAGGTAGCTTTTGAAGCCAAGCATGCATTGGCATTTTATGTTGGGTGATACTGATATCTGCTTTGAAGGGACAGTTTGATATTGCATGATGTATGATAAATAGAGTCCCAAAATGACTCATTTTTTGGTTCCTGTAAAAATCCACTCAAATATGCAAAGGAAATCCTTCAAGTATATTTCCTGTGAAGTTTTCAGTCCAGATGTTGCTTCAACACATCTGATATTCTCATGTAATTGTTGTTTGCCATAGGAAGTCAAAAAAAGAACCATGACAAAGAGGAATAAACAGCAAATAAAGCATGCTTTCACAGTAATCACAAATTTAAAATCTAACTAAGAAATTCTAGGTAATTGTAACTTTGGCATTTGTTTGTTCATTACATAATACAGTTAATTAGTTTGCAATGAAATTTACTGAATGAGTGAGTGTTCATTTAGACTTGTCGATATATTCTTTATCCAATGGTATTCACACACATGTACAATTACTAATCAACTCAACAATACACTATAGGCTACACAAAGGCCAATCAGATGTTTATTATTGCTCTGTGCGCTATACATGGGCATTTTGATTTTTTGATAGAAGAAGCAGATTAATAAACAAAGAATAGTATTGGTTAATTGATAGATACATTTTAGTTTTAAGTTAATAATTAAATAAATTATTTTTGGTGCTATCATGCAGGCCACTGGTTCTTTGAGACAGTTGTGATCAAAAACCATGAAGCAGGGGTTTATGCACTATAAATGGCCATGTGTCAGACAGGAGACTTATTTTTTTGTAGACCAACAGTCAATAAGGATTGTGTTCTAAAGGATATTGTCAAAGATGCTCATTTGTTTGTTAACTGGAGCTCTGATCATATTTACAGGGTTTTTTACTGGTAGGGAAAATCAAAACAGTGGTTAAATTTAAAAAAATTAATACTTAATACATATACTTATTTTTGTAATTTACATTGTTAATTATGAAGGCATTTGTGTTTATATAAATATCATCCTTGACTGTTAAAAACATTTTGCATGAATATTGTTTTCCTTCATGCAGTTTTATATGTATAACAAAAATATAAAAATTGGTAGAAATGTTACATCTTCTCACCTTGACAGTTGTATCAAAAAGGTTTTTGTTCATTGATCAAAAGTAATCTATCATAAAATGGAAAAGAACCTTAAATAAATGGTAGAAAGTATTAATGTCCTTAATTTACACATTTAAGGAACAAATAGGATTTACAAATGAACAAAGATTTGAGGAAGCACCCTAACTGT